GGCAGCTTCTCCACCTGTGGGGCTCAGCCTCCCCCAGACCTCCTAGGTCAACAGCTACATCTCAAACAGATCCCTCCCTGAGGGTGGAGACATCAGCCTCCAGCAGGAGCAGAAAATGCCTGTTCGCTGCTAGCATGGTGCCCAGCGCTGGCTCCTACTCTGCTCCACGTGTGCTGGGAAGGGTGTGAGGTACTCCCCACCCTCCTCTGGGACTCAGCTGTGCATGGCTCTAAACCGCAGGACCCTAGTGGTCTCTCCAGATGCCTCGCGCTTACGGTGCTGTGGGAAAATGAAAGTTTCTAATAACTTGAAAGGATTGCTCCTAATGTGGTTGTGAAGGCTGGCAGAGCAGCTCTACCTCCCCTGGGTGCCGGGGGAGGAGTCACCAGTGCAGCCCGTTCTGATTCCTGCCTCTCCCATGTTTAAGGGGGCAGAGTTGTCACCGTCCTAGGTTCTGTGTCATGGTGTTTTCCTGCTTTCTTCTACCTCCTTGCCACTTTAAATTCTTGTTGGCACCTCTCTTCTTCTTACCCTACATGGAAAAGCACTGCCCCAGCTTTGATCTTGGAATTCTGGCTCTCTTCTGTCTGCCTGGTAGACTGGAATGAAGCCTACTTTCATGTTTTAGCTGCAAGCAAGTATCAGTATTTTGAAAAGGCCGCACCCTTGGTTATTTTCATTAATGCCAGAGCTGAGAATTTCCACTTGCTTCTCTCTTTCCAAGTGAGCTCATCCATCCATTCCCTCGCTTTTCAATGTCCTATATTTACAAGTAAATTTCATATTTATATTATATTTATATAAATTTCAATTTATATTTCCATGGCCTCTCCCCAGAGCCTGAGTCATGCATTTAACTGTTTCCTGATACCTTTTGAATGTTTCATGCAAATGTGCTCTACTCCAGAGACCTTCATGCACATACGCAAACCTGTTTCTTTCCCAGGCATGCTCGATTTAATAAAGGGCAGCCTTATCTGCCTTGTTACTCAAACCAGAAACCTGGGGATCATTTTAAAAATTTACCCTTCTCTTGTTTTCTTCAAAATAGCTGCCCTGGAATGTATTCACTCTTTTATTTTTGTTAGTTTTATTCTATTTTGTTTTGCTTGACTCCATTATGTGTGAAGGCATAGACAGCTGTTTTGAAGAAAATAAGAGACATGATGGTAGCCATTGTTCATTTCCTATTGTCTTGTTTTGAAGTTCTGTATCACTTGCACTGTTCTGCTTGATTTGCTTTATTCTATTTTGTTTTGTTTTATTCTCTTTAAGATAAAAAGAAATTTTTAAAAATCTACCCATCTCAGAGCTATCACATTTAGTTAAAGACCATGTTCTGCAGCTTCTGACTTCAGGTAGCAAACTTGTACTTCACTCTCCTTCTCTAACTTCATACCTGTCACCCTAATGAAGCCACCAGCGCCTCTCAGTCCCCAGAGGTCACTGCACACCTGCCTGAGCCCTGCCAGCCCATGCCACACTGAGATGTCAACTGGGCACGGATATATGGGCTGAATCCCATGAGCTGTGTACCCTTCAGTGTTTCCCCACTGCCTTTCAGATGCCAGACGAGGTCCTGTATAACATAACTGGGCTCCACTTACTCTTCCATCCTGTCTTACTCCACACCTTATAACGTTTAGTAACTACACAATTTAGAGAAAAGCAAAACTACCAGTATTTGACCTGTTACTCTTTACCTGGTTTTAGCAATTTCTTTATTTTTAAATTCATAGTGACACTTTTTCTCAATGGTGTTAATGGGCTATATTATATTCTCTCCTACTTTGGAAAATGTCATGATCTGTTCTTGGCAAATTGGCCTCATCCAGCACCCATGGGGGCAATGACAGCTGGTCTGTGATTGACTTCTCTAACTGGCAGTTGGCAAGTTCTTTGAGCTTTGAATGAAAGGCGCATCTTGATTTCATAACACTGAACTGAGATCCCAGGAAATGGGGAAGGATGCTAATGGTAGAATCAGGCAAATGGACCCATTTCCTTCTCGTATTTTTTTGGCAGATCCTTGCTCTCTGAGGTCAGCAAAGACACTTTCACTGTATGTGGCAGTGAACTCCATTTCATAGGAAAATGAAAAGGAAACCTGAATCAAATAGGTGCAGTCTACAGCTTCCATTGGCTCATTCAAAATGAGCAGGCTTGCAGCTGATGTCCAAAGCACCACGCAAGGGCGAAGTGAAGCAGAAGCCATTGTCTGGCTTGGCACAAGCAGTGAGCGTGGCGTTTGTCTTTTCCTTCCGCATGTGTGTTCCTTCTGCTTTGGACATCTTCCCGAAGTGCCTCATGTCACTGGGACTGTAACTTTTGTCTGTCCTTACACAGATGCCTCTACAAATTTCCAAGTGAGCTTAATCCAGACCTGTGGCTGGAGAAAGCTGAAGCCATTTGGGGCGGTCTTTGAACCCCTCCTCATCATCCCTCCCATCAGCTCACGCTCTTCCTCCAAGACTGTTCCACACAGCCTTTCTCCTCATGGCCTGCTCATCCCCTCGTGACCTTCTTTTCCTTCACCAGGAAGGAGGAGAACTTGAGAGTTAAGTCACCAGTACTCCCACGGCCACCTCAGCTTTTCCGGTGGGCCCACATTTCTCCTTGCGGTCCTAGGAGAACTTTTCCCGCTCCTATCTAAAGTGATCCGCTGCCTTTTCCCATGATGTCAACTTCTATCCTTAGACTTAGGACAGCTGGCATCGGGCCTGTGCTTGCTTTATTTCTTATACTCTGCCACTAGATCATGAGTGAGTTGATTGCCCGAGTTCCCTTGGTCCCAGTGCCCACGGCACAGTACCTGGCATTTCATAAGTGCTCAGAAAGCATTTTATAAATGAGGAAATGAATGAATGCCCATGAGTTATAAATAAAAGCATGTGGATGGGTGGCTACCAGCAGCACATCACTGTTTATTAAGAATTATTTATCACGTATTCTTTGTGTAAAACAAATACGCATTAGCCCTTGGCATTAACTGGATGCCATCAGCACAACCTTTGCAAGAGTGGCTATTTACAAACTACACGGGAAACAGGGTGACTTGGTGCTTGTGTGCTGGCTGTGCCCCTTAATAAACAGTGAGCCTGCTGCAAGCATGGCTGGGAATGATAGAATATTTGAATAATTTAATTCATGCATTATTTCATTGTCTATGATGTTTCCTCCTCTGAAATATTGACAGAGTGACTCATAGCAGAGTTTTCACAGTGTCAGAGAATCAGAGCCATTATGAGGCCATTATACTAATAACATATGACAAACAGTGGGACTGTGGAGTGGTAATGGATACTTAATGGATAGCGAATAGTCAGAATTCTGCACAGTAATGGTTGCTAGTGATTTCCCAGGAATAATCATCCCTTCTAACAATAATGTAACTTTAATGTCAAAAACTGCCAGCAGCATGGGGGGTCCAGATTGCCTTTTGAGTACTGCCCACTTCACTTGCCACGAGACACCTGGAGACCTGAGTCAGTCTCCCTGCTGCCTAGCCAGGTGGGAGACGTCTCCTGGCAGCTCCTGTGATTAGAAGACACGAGGTAACTCCATCGGTGCCTGGCATGGTGTGTTTCAGTTAATAGCAAACCCTGAGTCCCAGGCTGACAACTCCTGCTCAGATACGGTTACATCTGCTCCTTGACTGTGCTCCATGTGGATTATTTCTCATTTGCAGCCAAGAGGCCTGAAGGAGAGAACAGTTCTCCATCACTGTGCTTGCTTCCTGCTGCCCCTCTTGAATGTGTCCCCTGCCCTATCCTCATCCACGCTGTCTTTGCGCTTCTCTTGGTGGCTTCTGTGTCCTGCTGCCAGGGGTGTCCATCCTCTGGGTGCACTCCTGCCTGGTGCCCTGCCGCTGGCCACTCCCGAAGCTGTTTCACTGCCTCTGGGGCCTGGGCATTGCATGAGAGCCCAGGGGACACGTCTTGCTCTGTGCACTCATTATGATTCCTGTTGTCACTGGAGAACTAGTCATCGCCTCATCATTGCTCCATCTTGTTGAAGCTCACGTTCAGAGTCTGATTTCGGTTACCTCCAAAAACGATTTCCTCAAGAACAAAGACCTAAAGCTCTCTCTCTGACCCCCGGCCCCCTTCACTGTCCTTCAGTCCCTACTTTGGCTTAGTGCTGGGAACAAATGGATAGCGGATTGCTCCACTGGTCCTGCTGTCTGTCCCATCTCCTGGTGAAGGGTCTGGGCTGCTTTTCAAGGCCCTTTCACGGCTTGTCCCAGGAGGAAGTTCTGCCCGTGTGTTCTTCCAGCCGGCTCGGGACAGGAGCCCAGGCCCCTGGGCTTCTCGTCATAGAACTCGACATGGAGACAGCCACGTTCCCTCCCTCACCTCTGCAGGGCTTGGCCACTGGCCACCTGCAACTGCTGACCTCGTGAAACGTGGCTGGACTTGGGTTCTTCCTAGTCGCCCCTGGTGTTCAGGTGAGCGCTCTGCTGTCTCTTTCATGTTCCTAGTGAAGCCCACCAGCTTAAAGGCCTGGGCTGACACTTTCCCTTTAGGAAGTCACAGCTATAATTCAGATGAGTGCAGAGAATCTGGCTAAAGTCTAGGCCTAGTGAGCAATTCTGCAGCAATCAATTCTCAAGCTTGGGAATTGTCTGAATAGTTACAATGGCCATTCTATTTCCACCCCAAACTGAGTTTTCAGGGTGGTGAACATCACAGTAAGCAGATGCGTCCTCATCTCGCTATGAGAAGAGCCTGCCTTGAGCGGCACAGTAACAGCTCTGGGACCAGCATGGCCGGCCCCAGCCGGGCAGCAGCAGTGAATTCCTTGAATTCCTTGAATTCCTCGTCTTTTGGGCCTGGAGGGCACGGAACACCCTGAAGCCCCAGGTGGCTTTGCTTTACTACTTTTTACAACACATTTCTTTTCAGTTCTCTCTGATGTGCAGAATGTTATGAATCAGCCTTTTGTGGGGGTGGGGCTGGCTTTGCCAAGGGCCACCGAGGGCTATAAGGGGTAAACAGAACAAGGAGCACGCAAGACAAAGAGACAGGAGAAACTGATGATTTTAGATCCATGGTTACGCTTTTACAAATATTTATTATACAGATAGTGGTCAGGGCAGGCAGAAGCTGCAGAAACAAGGCAGTTAACTCTGTTAGGACCAAAATCTGGGTGGAAATTAAAACAAGCGGTTGCAGTGAGAGAAACGTGGGTCTCCAGGTTTCTGTAATGGACATCGGAAACCTTGCTGTAAACAGGGAATAAATCAGATCACACTCAAGTAAGTAAAACAGACACAGGAACTAAAACACCTGCTCTCTCCTGCTGGGTGTGAGCAGGAGGCTCGTCCTGGGGGACTCGGCCAGAAACCACGCTGTGTCAGACTTGTGAGCTTCATGTGTTCACTGTGCAGCTGAACCCTCTCTGCGAACTAGGCGATTTTTCCCCCTCACTTATGAAATACCCACTAAGAGAGACTGAAGAGTTGGAAGAAATATTCAAATCAGCTTGCAAGATCACAGTGGCTTCAAGAAATAGAAGTAGAGAGGGTGCTATCTGGAGACCCACTCCATAGGCCTCAGACACCAGGGACAGCAGTGATGGCAGAGGGGTTTAAGCTTGGAGATGTATGGGTGTGGGCCGCCTGGGTTGCGGGGGTCTGAGCCACCTGGATGAAAAGCACGGCAGGGCCACGGATGGCATGCAGCCGCCAGCAGGAGACAACAGACAAGAGCCCTTGGGACAGTCCAGGTCAGGGCCAACGGCAGGGATTAGCTGTCCAGAGACCTCTGACAGGCCCAGGCTCCTCCTGGGTTCCCCTGGCCCTGCTTGGCCTTGCTGTGTAGGGAGGGACTTGAGATTATTTTTGAAAGGTTTGGCCCAGACAGGACACTGTAGCCAGGAAAGCCACAACCGGAAGCAGGAAGCCCCATCTTGCCCTGCCCCTAGGAAGTTACCTGTGACGCCATCTTCCCGCCCCTGGGAATTTACATATGGCGCCAAACCTAGGACCAATGGGCTACCTGTGTATCCCTAATGCCCGCCTTAGGTTCCACCCCAAACCGAGGCTATTTACAGGCCCCCACGCCGCGTGTCCGCTGGAGAGATCGCCGGACGCCAGCGGTGGGGGTGCCGGTCATCTCTCTCCGTGTTCTCAGAATAAAGGCCGCTTTTTATTTTATATTTCTCATCTTTTGTTAATATTTTTCATCTTTTGGAAATAACTCTATCATTTGGTGCCGTGACTCGATCGGCAGGCAACTAACTCTTGGGCCACATACCCAGAGTTTCCTCGCCGATAACCAGATAACATCCTGGATTAATCCCGAGCTTTTTCCTCTCCCGAGACGTTCCTGTCGCCAGCCGCCTGCACTCCGCATCGGCCAGACTGATTTCAGGTGAGCACTCCCCGGGGAACTTTTCGCACTGGGCAGCCCCAGTGGAATGTTCTCCCCGTCTGCGTGGGTCTGTGCATTTTCACGTCCTTAGGACCGCCCAGGGCAGGGTTCTTTCTGGGCAAACCTGCGCCCACAAAATCTCTCACGTTCTTTGGGTTCGGATAGCCCAAAGCAGAGATTTTTGGGACCGCCCACACTGAAAGAATGCCTCACTTCCCTTAAAGCCTTGCGCTTTCACGGGCAAAACTGTTACTGATCCCACGTAGACTCCATTCGTAAATCTCTCAGTGACGACTGGAGTTTATGGTTTGGAACCGTAGCCGCCGCGTGGTACCACAAATAAGTGACGACTTTTTCTGGACCTCCGGCTTTTTTCTTGTCTGAATTAGTCATGGGGAACGTATTTTCTAACTCCCAAAAGACGCCTTTAAAATGCCTAATTTCCAATTTACGTACTCTAAAAATTAAAGGTACCATAAAAACTAAACAATTAACTTTTTACTGCCAGGAGGTCTGGCCAACCTACCCGCTTATCGGCAAGCCTTAGCCTCAGCAAGGAACATTTGACCCCTGCATTCTCAGGAACTTGTACGATTTTTGTCAAGCTGGCAACAAGTTATTAGAACTCCCTTATGTCCAAGCCTTTCTTATTCTGAGAACACGCCCATCTCTCATTAAGTCCTGTGCTCCAGCTGAGATACTTTTAGCTAAGTCTACTGCGCCACAAACTTTTCCGTCCTGCTCTCCCTTGTTTTCCCAGCTGCCGCCTGCCTACCACCAAACTCATTCCCTGCGGTTATCTCCCGCCGGACCACTCTCCCCTCCCCCTATGCCTGATTCTCTCAGCAGTTCTAATCCCTCTCCGTGGCAGATACCTCCTGCTGTGCGATCGTCTCCCTCTCCGCCTTCCAGGACCCATAATTCTCCCAGCAGCTCTAATCCCTCTGTGTCGCAGTTATCTCCCGATGTTCCATCCTCTCCCCCTCCATCTCCAGGGACCCATATCTCTCCCAGCGGCTCTGATCCCTCTGTTAGTGCTTCCTCACAGTCTCCGACTTCTCCTGAGAATTCTCTATCCCCTACAGCATTCTCACCGCCTGCCCACCATACTAGGTTTCAGTCGCTATGTCCTTCCAGCAGGTCGCTTGATTGTTCCAGCTTGTGCAGGGAACAGTCGCCATGTTGCAACCCTCTGCCACATGGCATGGCGCCGCCATGTTCAGGAGGGCCACATGGCGACAGGGCGCCACCATGTTTCGGGCCACGTGACAGGGCGCCGCCATGTTCCCAGGCGCCGCCATGTTTTGGGTCACGTGACAGGGCGCCGCCATGTTTCCAGGGCCTTCACTGTCAACAGGCGTCTCCTTGTGGCTCCTCTTGTGAACTACAACAGCCGTCCTGTTGCAGTGCACATGACGCTTCATTGTGCTGCCGAAAGCAGTCCTCTAGCTGCAAGGCACACAGTGAGACGCCATCTGCTCGTGTTTCCCAGGGTGACCGGCAGCAGCTCTGTAGCCGCTCTACAGATGATTGCTCACATGCGCCTACCGGAAGGATGGCTGCTCAGTGGCCCTCTGCTCCGGAATCTCCTTTGGCTCTGCTACCGCTTCGGGAGCCAGCTGGCCCCAAGGGACCTGTTAACATCCATGTGCCTTTTTCCCTTTCTGATCTATCCCAGATTACCCTTAAATTAGGTAGCCTCTCTGTTGACCCACAGAATTATATCAGGCAATTTAAATTTATTACTAATTGTTATGATTTACATTTTAAGGACGTTTATAATGACTCTGGGCCTATAGCTGTGCCAGAGCAGGTCAAGCATACTAACTATAACAAACTTTTAAAACAGGTCCAGGAAGCTAATCAAAACCCAGCTGTGTTCCTAAATTGGCTTTCTAATCCTCGAGCCCTGCAAGCAGTTCCAGCTTTGCGCACTGTGTCGGGCCGCCTCCCAGCCCCTCCCCCATGCACCGTCCCAGCCCCTCCCTCCCCTGTGCGCCGTCGTCACCGCCGCCGATGCCATCTTACCCGTTTCCGGGGGCAGTCTGAGCCCGCCCCTGCGCGCTACATCCCAGCGCTTGCCCCACCCACAGGGCGCGCTCTGCCGGAGCATCGCGAAACAGCAGCTCAGCGGCTCTGCTCAGGCATGCTTTTTTTTACAATTTGGCTCCGCTCAAAAGATGCTTTTTTATTACAATTCTCAAACCATTTAATCAAGGTTATTGGCCACCTGATAATTTTACCAGCTTTGTTTATCAATCAAAGCCTTCATCAATCTTCTGTTTAACAACTAAGGTTATAAATTCCTTTTTGCTGGGAACCACTAGCTCTATTTCAAGACAAGGGTTTTCTTCAAAGTTTTATTTTATTTGTCTTGGTTCATTCTACTGCAAATAACAACTTTAAAAGTAAATGTATTCAGAATTTGATAGTATTAGATCAGTTTTGATAGATTTATTCATAAGATTGCTAAACCTTTACTGCAAAATGTTTCCATTAAAGCCTGCTCTCTGATCCAAAATGCCAATATTAAATTCCTGCATACTTACTTAATTCTACTGTAGTCCAAATCCCAAACAAAAAGGCAAAACTTGACCTTCAAACCTTATAGAGATCTTAATATGGTTTTTTATATTTTTAACACTTGTGACACTTGGAGTTCTGAGACAGGTAAACCTACACAAGGTGGAGCTGCCTGCCCCCTCCATGGACCACGCTCAAATGCAGCAGAAGGTACTGGGCAAGAAAATGCCCCATCCTGGCATTCTTTGAGACCTTACTCCAGGGCTACTGGACTGTCCTAGCCACCAGAGAGTGGGTAAGTCATCCTAGCCCTCACAGGAAATGTCGACACTGCCAAATTCGTCACCGACAGAAAATCGCTGCTGAAGACTGAGGAAGTTCAGGGCAACAACAGCCCCCTTTAAGGTGTCCGTCTCAGATTCCAAGTCGCACAAAACTCTCAGGTAAGACATTCTCTATATTTGTGGACATAGAGGCCATATATACAGAGTTCTTCCTGAGTTTTCAGGCTGCTATATTAAGTCCTCAGTCTCTATGATGGGGTATTGATGGTTAACCTATGCCATTTACAAACAGGGCCTATTTTGTGCAGGTCCCAGTCTTCTCACTTGGTTTATACTTTTTCAGGATACATAAAAGCCTTTCTCATACTTGCTAAAGTTCTGTTACAGCAAATCATTCTAAGGACTACAACCAGGTTACAGTGACCCATGCCTAAATCAAAGTTGCTAGACTGCCATCCTGGTTTCACATCACTCAGGCTAAGAGGTGCCCTTCCAGCCCTAAATCTGATCATTCTGAGTGGTCATCTCATCTTCTGTCGCCTACCCGTCTCCGTCTCACAAAGGCCTCACAGCCACAGTTAACAGGCTAAGTCATGTTTTGTTATCCACTTTGGTTCCTAATTTCTTACATTCTATTAATGATCATTTTTACAGCAGGACTCTTTAACAGTATTGCCTACAGACTCCAACATCATGCATACCAGAGACAAGCCTCACCAACCTACCATCTTAACTTTTATGCTTTCAGATGGGGGAGTAAGCACCTCTCATAACTCCACTCCTCCTAACCCCACGTTTAATTTTCAGAATTCTGCCTCACCATGGAAATGTTTCTACCTCAGCATGGTCCTGATAGAATGATATGTCTAAATCAAAGGCACCTTTCCTTCTACCTCACCTGGGTCCTTAAATATGACAGTGCCATGTCTCCTCATAACATTTTGTCTCTTTGTTTTTCCAGTCTGACATACGTGCATTCACCAGTGAAGCTGTCCTGGCCAAAACACCTGGTACCAGCGTCTACCTGGGCATCAACCTTCATCCCGTCGACTCCCCTAGGCTCCAGTACAGCGCCCTTTGCCAGCAGGAAGTAGTTAAAGAGAGAAATCTTCGCCCCTTTTCATAATAATAACCATAAGATGGGATATGAAAGGTTTGGCCCAGACAGGACACTGTAGCCAGGAAAGCCACAACCGGAAGCAGGAAGCCCCATCTTGCCCTGCCCCTAGGAAGTTACCTGTGACGCCATCTTCCCGCCCCTGGGAATTTACATATGGCGCCAAACCTAGGACCAATGGGCTACCTGTGTATCCCTAATACCCGCCTTAGGTTCCACCCCAAACCAAGGCTATTTACAGGCCCCCACGCCACGTGTCCGCTGGAGAGATCGCCGGACGCCAGCGGTGGGGGTGCCGTTCATCTCTCTCCGTGTTCTCAGAATAAAGGCCGCTTTTTATTTTATATTTCTCATCTTTTGTTAATATTTTTCATCTTTTGGAAATAACTATCAATTTTCTTTTTAAAAATTTTTTTTATTTTAAAGAGATTAAGATAAAAGAGCACAGAACAAAGCAGATCAGAAAAGAACAATTTAAGCAACACAGTATTTCACCACAAGACAACCCAATATAACAGTAGCTACCATATTGTCTCTTTCCTTGAAATAGTTGAGCATATATTCATACACAATAGTATCTAACATAACAAAATAGTATAAAACCATTAAAGACAATGAATGTATTACAGGGTATTCAAAACCAAATAACAGAAAACGAACAATGGTTTCTATATTATCTCATTGTCCATAAGGAATTTGTTTATACTACCACACATGATAAAATCCAGTAAGATACAACATGATAGAACCAGTAGAAACAGAAGAACAAAAGTATGGTAGAACTTCAAAACAAGATGATATTAAATCCGCACTGGCTATTATAATGTCTTATTTTCTTCAAAATAGCTGTTCATACCATACAGATAATAAAGTCAAACAACCCAAGATAAAACGATTCCAACAAATGAATGGAAACATTATAAGGCTTCAAAGCAATGTAATGGGGAATCATAATTACCATAAACTTTTATATACTCTTACCATTTCTTACACTAGGGAGACTATATGGTATTTATACATGTGAGTTTGATTTATTTTGCTTATGAGTATGGTCTCAAGTTGCATCCATTTATTTATAAATGTGATCATTCTTAATAGCTGAGTAGTATACCATTGTATAAAAATACTACAACTTTTTTATCCATTCCTTAGTTGTTGGGCACTTACGTTGTTTCCAAGATCTGACTATTACAAATTGTGCTGCTATAAACATGGGTATACATATATCACTGTGGTATGATGCATTCAGTTCTTCTGGGAATATGCTGAGAAGTGGAATAGCTGGATCAAATGGGACTTCCAATCCCAGCTTTTTGAGAAATCTCCAGACTGACCTCGACAGTGGTTGCACCAATCTATACTCCCACCAACAGTGCATGAGTTCCTTTTCCCCCACAGCCTTTCCAGCATTTGTTGTTGGTAGTTTTCTTGCTTCTGGACATTGTTTCTGGAGTAAGGTGGAATCTCAGTGTTGTTTTAATTTGCATTTCTCTAATAACTAATGATGATGAACATTTTTCATGTATTTATTTGCCATTTTTATTTCTTCATCTGAGAACTGTGTGTTCATCTCCAATACCCATTTTTGGACTGGGTCTTTGAATTTTGGGGGTCTGATTTTTTTAAATTCTTTATATGTTTTGGACAGAAGTCCTTTGTCTGAGGGAGAGTTCACTAAGATTTTTTTCCCAGTTTGTGGGTTTTCTTTTCAATGTGCTGGAGATTTCTTTTGACATGCAGAAACTTTTTAATAAGAGGTGGTCCCAGTTATTGATTCTAGAAAGTATTTCCCATGTGGTTTGATTCCTGTTCATGAATTCTCTACCTACCCTTATGTCTTCAAGATTTTTACCCAGTTTGTCTTCCAATAGATTTAGTGTTTCTGTTTTAATATTCAGATCTTTGATCCATTTAGATTATAGTTTAGTACGTGATAATAGGCATGGGTCTAGTTTTAGTTTTCGGCATGTGGAGAGCTAGTTTTTCCAGCTTTATGAAAGAGACTGTTGTTAAAGAGACCATTTATAAAGAGACTGTTGTTCTTCCAGTGAACATGTTTGGTCTCTTTATCAAAGATAAGGTGGTTGAGTGTGTTGGTAGTTGTGGTTGTATCTTCTAATCTATTCCATTGATCTTCAGATCTGTTTTTATTCTAGTACCATGTTGATTTTACTACAGTTGCTTTGTGGTATAATTTTAAGTCAGGGATTGTGATGCCTCCTGCCTTGGCTTTGCTGCTTAGAATTGTCTTTGCTATTCTAGGTCTCTTCTGGTTCCAGATGAATTTTAGGAGTGATTTTTCTAGATCTATGAGGTATATAGATGGTATTTTCACTGAGATTGCATTGAATCTGTATAACAGTTTTGGGAGAATGGGTATTTTTACAATATTTATTCTTGAGATTCTCTTCAATTTCTTTTTCAGGGTATTATAATATTCCCTGGATAGATTTTTTTTTTTTTTTTTTTTTTTACTTCTTTTATGAGATTAATTCCTAAGTATTTCATTTTTTTGGATCCTAGTGCTAAGGGTGTGGCTTCTCTTATTTCTCTCTCTGTGATTTTGTTGTTAGTGTACAGGAAGGCTATTGATTTTTGAGTATTGATTTTGTATCCAGCTACATTGCTGAATTTATTTATTATATCTAGGAGACTTTCAATGGAGTTTTGGGGTTCTTCTATGTAGAGTATCATATCATCTGCAAATAATGATAATTTAACTTCCTCTTTTCCTGTCTTTACCCTTTTATTTCTCTCTTGTCTAATTGCTCTGGCTAGTATTTCCAGTACTATATTGAATAGGAGTGATGATAAGGGACATCCTTGTCTTGTGCCTGATTTTAAGGTAAAGGCATTCAGTTTTTGGCCATTTAATATGATGCTGGCTGTTGGTTTGTCATAGATGGCCTTTATCATATTGAGGTAAAGACCATCTATTTCAATTTTCTTTTATCGTGGTTTTTTATCATGAATGAATGTTGGACCTTATCATAAGCTTTTTCTGCATCTATAGAAATGATCATGTGATTCTTACTTTTGGCTTCATTGATATGGTGGATTACATTTATTGATTTGCGTATGTTGAACCATCCCTGCATGCCTGAGATGAATCCCACTTGGTCATGGTGTATAATCTTCTTGATGATTTGCTGCATCCTGTTTGCCAATATTTTATTGAGGATTTTTGCATCTGTGTTCATTAGGGATATTGGCCTGTAGTTCTCTTTTTTAGTTGGATCTTTCTCAGGTTTTGGTACTAGAGTAATATTTACTTCCAGGAATGACTTATGAAGAATTGCTTCCCTTTTGATCTCATTGAAGAGTTTGAGGAGTGTTGGCATTAAGTCTTCTTTGTACTTGTAGAATTCTGCAGTGAATCTGTCTGGGTCTGGACTCTTCTTTGTAGGTAAGGACTTAATTACATTTTTAATTGCATTAATAGAAATTGGGTTATTCAGCAGTTTTACATCTTCTTGACCCAGCTTTGATACTTCAAATCTTTCTAGGAATCTGTCCATTTCTTCCGTGTTATCAACCCTATGAGAATAGAGGTTTTTGAAATAGGTGTTGATGATCTTCTGTATTTCCACAGTCTGTAGTGATTTTGCCTTTTTCATTCCTTATTGCAAGAATTTGAGCTTTTTCTTCCCTTTTTAAAATAAGGTTGCCTAGGGGCTTATAAATTTTATTTATTCTTTCAAAGAACCAACTCTTTGATTCATTGATTCTTTGGATTGTTTTCTTAGTCTCTATTGCATTAATTTTTTCTCTGATTTTTATAACTTCCTCCCTTCTTTTGGCTTTGGGCTTGACTTGCTTTTCCTTTTCTAGATGTTTGGGCTTGACTTGCTCTTCTTTTTCTAGCCGTTTGAGGTGTAGCATCAAGTTATTTATTTGTATTCATTCTGTTTTCCTGATGTGGGAACTCAGTGCAATAAATTTTCCTCTGAGGACTGCTTTCATTGCAGACCACAGATTTCGATAAGTTGTATTTGTATTTTTGTTTGCTTTTAGGTATTGTTTAATTTCTTCTTTAATTTCCCCTGTTGCCCTCTGATTGCTCAAGAGTGTATTATCCAATTTCCATGTGTTAGTGGGGTATTTGCAGTTTCTTTTATCATTAATTTCTAGTTTCATTGTGCTATGATCTGATAACATGTATGGAATAATTTCTATTCTTTTGCATTTATTTAAATATGTTCTATGGGTTAGTATATGGTCTATTTTAGAAAATGTCCCATGTACTTCTGAGAAGAATGTATATTCTGATGTTGTTGGATGGAACACTCTGTATATATCTATCAAGTCTATTTGTTCACAGGTGTGATTCTGTTATTTCTTTGCTGATTTTCTGTCTGTTTGATCTGTCCTCTGGTGTCAATGGTGTGTTAAGGTCTCCTGTTATAATTATGTTATTATTGATTATTTGATTTTTCATACTATTTGGAGTTCTGCTTGCTTCACTAATCCTAATGTCAGTTTCCATTCTCATGTTTGGGAAATTTTCAGCTATTACTTCTGGAAATATTACTTCTTGATATCATTTGTGTTGTCCCCTTCTTTTTCATTTATCCCTATCAGTCTTATATTGTTTTTCTTTGCATCATCTTGCAGCTGTTGAATTGTTATTTCCTGATTCCTTGTTACTTTTAAAGGATTTTTCCTTTCCTGTTCACTAGCTGCAATCTTATCTTCAAGGTCTGAAATTCTATCTTCACTTTCATTGAGCCGGTTTTGACAACTTTCAATGGAATTTTTAATTTCTTGTATATCTCTTTGAATCTGCTTCTTGTATTCTGTTATATTGTGCATCTAGGAATTCTTTTTGTTTTGTTCTTCTAATTTTTTAACTGTGTCTTCTTTAGATGTGTTCAGCATCTATTTCATTACTTTTACCACTTCTTCTTTTACCTGGGAGATTATTTCTAGTCTGAATTCCTTTAAAGTTTCCTGGAGTTGCTTCTTTATTTCAGTTGCTATTATTTCAGGTATTTCAAGTGTGTGGCATATATTTTCTTCTGTGTACATGGCTTAGGCTTTTTTTGGGATGGGCTGGAGGTTTGAGATTTGGTCTTTTGTTTTGTCATTTTCCTGTATTCCTGTGTTTCAAGTATTGTTCCAAGGCTTCCCCTGGGCATGTTGGAAATTGTCTCCTATAACCTCGGCTCCTGGGACTGAATGAAAGTTGCTGAGTGTGGTCCAGTCAAGCCCACCCACAGTATCTCCCGTGCCACCTCCAGTGTTCCAGGAAGCTGGGCAGACACCTAACCACTGTGGATGATGGTCCAAAACTCTCCCTAGACAAGGAAGGACCAATGTGCTGGAACTCACTTCACATCCTCTC